TACCTTTATCCCATCTTAGTTTATTGTTGTCAAAAGAAATGTAGGATTCTTTACATTTGGAACTTCGATGCTTACAGGAACTGTTTTCCCTTCTCAGAAATGTGACTCGACATTCTGAAATTATTTCTATGACATTACTTGATTTTAATGGAATTTTGTTCTCTGAGATGGATGGTTTGGTCGTGGAACTTTCATCGAACTAAAAGAGTTTTACTATATGATCATTCTATGTAAAAAAAGTCATCTCAGCAACGCTTCATGACCAGTGGTATCGGTAATGCAAAGCAAACTAGGTACTCATTATTTTAAAGCTAGTGATGGAATCCAATTGACTTCTGCAATTTCTTAAGTACCATACGCGTAATTAAATGTAGTGGTCAGCGTCATTGATAACTTGAAGCTCTGTCTTACTAACACTAAATGTTAATGTAACAATTATTAGGTTCAGGTTTTGGACACTGTACTATAAGTCACGATTTCTGTGTAACAGTTAGTCACATAATACTATGTTACAACCCATAAACAGCAGTAAGTAAAGAGTAATTCGATTGGGTTGTTTCTATTTTAATAAAATGATACCACGCTAGTATTGTTCTCTGAGCTGGATGGTTTGGTCGTGGAGTTTTCATCGTTATTCTGGACGACATCATGAGCACAAACTTCAGGTAGAGTGTAGTGTTCGAATTTCTCCACATAAGACTCACAGTTTGTCTTATAGACCTTGATGTTGATTGGTCAGTATTGACCTTTAACCTGTCATTGCCTACATTATTTTGATTGTATTTCTCTTTGATTTGATTTCTGGTCCTATATCCGTCTTATTGGTAAATAGATTAAATCGATCATAATTTTTCTGACTGGTTGATAAGTTAGATAGTTTTCAATATGCTTGTTGATTGCTGGTTGACTTGAGTACCGAGCTCCTTAAAATTTAATGGTGTTTTCAGAATTTTTTAATGAACGTACGGAATTAAAAAGCAAAATTACATTTTTTACTCATTGTGTTTTTTGTACAACAATACTGGCGTTCTTAAAAAAATTCAATATGATTGATGGTTGACTTGAGTACCGAGCTCCTTAAAATTTAATGGTGTTTTCAGAATAGCCTCTATCCTAGATTCCAACATTCTTCCAGTCGAATATATGTCCACATGCATTGATATAAGTGAGGATATGTCATGGCGTTTGACCGCTGATTGATGTTTATTCAGGCGACGATGAAGAAGGTGGCCGCTTTGTCCGATGTAGTGTTTTTCTCAATCGGAAAAATTTTTTGTAGATGATGTTCGGTTTTACTTCTTTTTTCATTTCGTCCTTTGGTTTGCATAGGATTGATCGGAATAATTTCATTGGTTTGTGTGCTACACTTATTCCGAAAGGTTTCAACAATCTCGTCTTAGTTTCTGAAATGCCTTTTATATATTGTAGGATGATCTGTTTGTTGGTTTTTTAACTAGAGTTTGCTTCTTCTGATACGTTTGGTTGATACTTTTTGTTGAACTTGATTGTTTAGCCGTTCTTGTGAAAAATTATCTCCAGCTATTATTCATTTTTCCGCTCTACAAGTGTGTTGCAATTTATCCTCGTCTCCAGGTTTCCTGTGTCGGTTCTGGTGATTATTACATTCAAGAGTGGTAGTTTGTTGTTTGATTCCTATTCTTTTGTGAACTTGATGTCATCAAAGACGTTGATCAGATTAAAGGTGTTTTCCAGGTCATCTTTTTTTACGATGACGAATATGTCGTCCACATAACGAATTCAAATTTTTGGTTTGATCACTGGCATGATCGAGGCTTCCAGTCTCAGCAGAAGCAGTGATGCAGAAAAGTAATTGTTTTTAAAAAAAAACCTAAAAATGATTCAATTGTCTTGTTTACTTGTCTTTTGTGTCAGTGTATCTATCTTATAACGCTCTCTAACATCCGTTATAGTCAATCAAGTTCAAAGCGAAGTGAATGCTTATTGTGATGCTACTAGATAATGATCACGATAAATATCCTGAATTAGTTCTGGTTAATTTTTTTGAACCCAACTGATTGTCTGCATAACAGTGTGATCTTCACGATTAATTGGATCTTGTGATTAGCAGAAAACTGTGACTTACAGAATAATAAACAAACCTATGTGATGATAGAATGCATTTAGAGATTAGAATTAGGATCTTGGAGGTCTTGTGTTGTCTTAGTTGAATTGTTTAGTCATAAACCTTCAATTATCTTTCTAGGCATCATCATGAGTAGATGTTTCAAAGTTAGCCGTCAGTGAAAGCCGAATGGTACAACTAGTGATCATTGATACTCACTACAAGAGACTATAGAGAAACTCTTATAGATCACTTCTTTTTGATGTTCTGATGTTGTTTAAAAGGACGATAAAGCTTTACCATCAAACCCTTCAGTCAGTCAGTTAGTTAAAACGTAGGACTAGGTACATATATATACATCAGTCCAAGCTACCATAGCACAGCAAGACGAACACCGGATTCCTAGAAGCAGTTAACTCAATGGCATAATTTCACGTAAGGATATAGTACAGAAAGAAAGAATTAGTTCGTAGAAAGAAAGATATGAAATAATTCTAATCTCATAGTTTAAGGGAAGACAAAGAGTGTATACACTTACGCCATTGTGATCGATTCTGAGCCATGTCACCCACAGTCTCCAACCATTGGTTGCGATAATCACGCGGACCCCAACCAAGTAGTCTGCATCTCACAACCTCATCAAACCCTTCAACTCAGAGAATACTAAACCTCCGGAAATATAAGCCTGTACATGATAACCGGGCTATATTACTATCTCTAATCTTGTCCATTTATGTGAATGATACTCTTCAACTAACCAATTTTAATAATAGTTATTATTGTTATATTTTTATCAATAAGTTATACATACAGTAAGCTGAATTCTTTGTCATTGTTAAACCTAAAAATAGTTTCACTTGTTCATTTTAAAACCATTTTCTCTCCACTTTTCATTTCATTGTATCTCATGTTGATGTTAATGGAAAATAATAGACAACATAAAAGAACATTTTTTATTAAAAAAAGTGTGATATCGGTATTGGCTTAAAACTGATAAAACTATTTGTGTTTAAGTAATGTAACAACTAGCTGTTACTTTTCTATGGTTAATGATAATTAAAATGTAATACCAAAAATATTAATGTCTTAGAACACTTGTAACGCGGTACTGAATAGTCCGATCTTACATGTCGGGCGAACCTGAACGGCTTACATGATGTCAACTAAGCCATATGGTATAGATAAACAACTATTCGTACCTTATTCAGCGTAAGTCACCTCCACTACTGTCAGACTCAGTATCCTAACTTGTATACAGACAAATGAGTTGGGTAAATTATTATTCAGCTATTTGGAATAGAGCTTCACATGTGCGTTCGGTTTTCCATAAGATCATGAATCAATAGCTGAATCGGACCTACTAAAAAAGACTCAAATTATGCAGTTCTTTATTATTATTTGTTCGTACGTTCTTTGAAGGATAAACCCAATAAAAGTTTCCTAATTCATATACTCACAGTGACCTTTGTTATTATTTCCTTGACTGTTGTCATTTTGGGTTTGCTAATTTTGTTTTATCCGAAGATCATTGAGTAGTTCCATTTCAGTTTTGGACATCTGTTCCTGAAAGTCTCATATCAAGGTGTCGATTATTATCGTTGAAACGTTGTTATGTGATAGCCACCTTGTATTTCCGAGTTTCTATGTGCTTGGGTTCTTTTTACAAAATCTCAGTTCCCGTTATTAGCAATTACCCTAAGCTCGTAATGAACCCCAATTTCAAGATTTCACAGGTCTACAGAACACAAATATCATCAAGTTTGTGTTAAGAGGTGCTTTTTTTAATTATTTTGTTCTGTTAGCTTAGTTTGTAATTGTACTTCTTCGAAGTTCTTACTGTTTAATGTACATTTACGTTAATCTTTAATCTTTTTGTTCATCGACCTTGTCCGCATAGGTATATCGGATATATGTCGATACATCTATTGATTGATAATTAAATTATCATCACGTTTCTCTGGTATCTGTAACATTTTTAAATACCTGATATTTCCCCGATAAAATTTATATCCGTACTTGTCCGTGATAACTTGATGTAACTTACGTGGAAGTTTTTATTTTAATTAATTTGTGTTTAAAATAGGCTGTTTGTATTGTTCATAATGAGAATTGTACCTTGACAACTACACCGTGCATATCAGTGTTAAATTTTAATGTTTTAATTGCTGGCATTTATTATTCTTCCTTATTGGAATTAAAATGGTTAATATTCACTTTTAATACAGTATGTAAGTCGTATGTATGAACTAGACGGAAAAATCCTCATTTGAACAATTTAGAAAAAATGTTAATGCGAAAAATAAAGAGAATTACTTCGTAGCTTTATTTGTCACTTTCTTATACATCCAGAAGTTACATTTGATGTACATCTTAGTCGTAAAGATTCTTACATCTGTTGATTTTTAAGATTATTTTGGTTTCTCTTGCATTATCTTGCATGGATACACACACTTGGAATAAACGTTCACTTGTTTGTGTGCTAACAGTACCAGATGTTTTTAGTTAAGCTAAAATGAATTTGATTTTATTTTTAAAAGTAATTATTATTTTACAAAAGCTAATTAGTTGTCATGAGTGATAGTAGGTAAACAACATGTTATTTTACGTATAAATTTTACCAATCTATTTTGACCATGTATTAGTTCATCATGTTACAGATCTAATTGAGATATACGTTTTGTAAGAAGCCAGTGATAAATTCTAATCATGATATATCTTTTTAAAGATTTTCAGCTTTAATCTTATAACTCGTATAATGGCTTAAAGTGAAATTAAGGTTGGCTTATTTCCTTTTGTAAAGAACGTCTTTGTAATTACTTGTGCTGAATGGCTGATAGTAAAACATCTATAATCCTTCTTTGAATTTTCCCATCTTTAAGTTTCAATGTAGTACGCGTATTTATTTTCTTTGAAACAGGCATCAATAAACACAGTTGACGAACCACGTGAGTCACATAAATCTTCCACACGTAAACGTTCAACTCCCACAACTATTCCAGGAAGTGCACCGATCACTCCAGAAACTGCTATACAAAATTTACGCTACACAAATGCCGGTATAGTTTCCAACACTGTTCCTAGTGTTAATTCTTGCAGCAGCGGTAGTAGTGGTACTGGTAGTCGTTCAACAACAAGTCCTGGTGAAAATATTTATCCTGTTAATTCTTCTCTACGTCATCATCATCATCATCAATCTAGACAGTCGAGTCATCAAAGAGCATCATCGGGTAATTCTACTGAAAGTAGAGAACCAAGCTTAGAAAATGAACGAAATTTAATTGCTTCCAGTTCAGCAGGTTTAGTAAAGAAAACAAAGAAAGGTAAGCGAAAATAAAGGTAGGTCTTAGTTCGCATCCCGAATATTTTGTAATGTATATTTTATGGAATATTATGATGTTGCTTGTTTAGCAGGTTACCTATTCAAATCTCTTTTTGCTAATTCAACCCTGCATTGCTCCGATACAGTAATTTATTTATCAAATATATTTTCAAAGCCACACTGTTTGTATGTATATGTCTGGTGATATTCTTTAGTTAATCGAATCAAAGTAGATCGAGCAAGATTCGAACCTGGAGCTCATGGTCTGCAATTCAGGTGCTTTACCCAATGAGACACTGCTCCACTCATATACAGTAGATAAATTTATATTTGTAAGGACTGTAATGCTATAGTAGGATAGCAACTTTATTGATGATATTGCATGACAATAACTAACAAAATTAAATATCGAATCATTGCTTTATAGCACAACTTAAAAGTGCTAAATTTGATCCCCAGTTGATAAGTTGACCCCGTCGCCAGCTGTTATATCTAGATCTTAGATTCTTGGTATATCGCGTACAACATGAACACTCGAACGCTAGCGAGGAGAGAAGACAAGTTAAAGGAACGCTATTCCAAACAGTGTCGGATATGGTACAAAACTCAGGTATTTATAGTTTTTATTAAAAACGAAATCATCATTATAGTTATCCGATCTGCATATAGTGGTTTTTAGCATTTGTCAATAGGGGAGCTACACGCAGTGGTTCTGAGATGTTTTTCCGAAAGATGATTGGATGGAATATCTTCGGCTCTTTCTGAGCTTCTTGGAGCTTCCTCCAAGTCACCCGTGGGTCATCCTCACACAATGTGTTTGCATATTGGCAAGCCATTTCAATAGCAACAAAGCTGAATGAAAAACAAGTTGATGTCCTTTCTTGATGAGAATTACCATTAATATTGTTGTTGATTAAATGCAAAGTTTTAACAAGTGATGTGGGGAATTCTCATAAAAGAATTAAAAACGTATCACATTAACTCGGCGCCCAAATATTGTGAAACTACTCGTTCAAATTTAGACGAAAGTTCCTATTTAGTGAAAACGTCATTATAAATACCTACATTTCTAATTTTTTATTTCCCCTCATATACTAATCGATCATTCATAAGTATTGTTAAGTTACGGGTCATAGTTGCACAATTGTTGGGATATTCAGGAAAATATCCCAAAAATTATCCTGTCAAGCCTAATGCTATCCTTGGACATGAAATGGTATCATCTTACTGGTCATTATTTTTTAACGTGTCATTTTCCTACTGGCTATTATTGTACAATGTTATTTTCTATTTTATGGTACGTTGTGGTCTGATTGACTGGTATATAAACAAAGTATATTTGAAATATAATGATTCATACATCCGAGGCTGTGATCTGCGTTCTGGACTCAACTGCTGGGCTAGATAGGGAAGCAGGACCAATCAGAACCCTAGGTTGTTCAACGTGTTTATGCGTCTTTGGTCCGATCGATAATTCGCTACCCTCAAATCTGCTGCCGTCTCACAGTTATAACAACAATTCACTTTATAATTTATCATCAATAATTAAAAATATATTACAAATTATACTACTTAGTATTTATTTACTACTAGCCAGTTCGCTAATGTATTAAATGTGTGGTATCAATATTGTAGCCTATTAACGATATGTAAACTACTGTGGGTTTTATTAAATTCGTCTTGTTTCTTTCTTGTCCCTCAGCTCATCATCACCACCACCATCAACGTTCGTCATTAGATTCAATGAATATGGAATCTAATCTTGACAATAATATTAATAATAATCCGGGTTCTATTACTATATATTCAACTTCAGAATCACAAGGATCATCTCGACATTCACGTAGATAGATATTAAACACCGATGAAAATCACATCAGTTTTATTCTATGGTCTTATTTTCTCTCTCTCTCTCTCTCTTGTTTTTCCTTAACTTTCTTTCTCCTCTCTGTCTCTCTCACATACAAACTTTTATTACAAGTGATCACATAATCATCATGTTCGGTCGCATTTAGTTCATATTTTGCTATAAATTGCACAGTTATCGTGAAAATATCTACTGAGTTGTATCATATTCTTTCTTATCCTTTGTTTCCGTAATTAAAGTACTTTCTAATATGTAGTTTTTTATAAGCTAAACATTTAATCCTCGTACGCACGTTTATGTGTGTATAGGTACATGTGCATGAGAATAATCAAGTTTTGTTCCTTATCCCGTGTATCTTTCTATGACAGACAGTATTGGCAGCAAGTTGACAAATAAAATGAATTACTCTGTTTGTATACATCAATCCTCTTTTTTGTCTTACAATTTGTCGGAAAGAGGGGTTAAACAACATTTCTTACAAAATCATAGAAGTGGAATAGCATTTCAGTAAAATATAGAATCCCAGACGATCCTATTCGTTTCTTTCCATTTAAGTCACTTAAGTAACTACTCAGAGGCAAGTTGTTGTGCTCTATGCACGTTTGTTGTATGAGTGAGAAACGTTTGTAATTCAAATTATTTACTTTACCCATTCTACTAATATGTTGAATCGGTACTACACATTACATGTGCTTCTGAATTCAGCAGTTGGTTCAAAACAACTAATGAGATCAAATAATGAAACCCATGAATTACACTAAACTAAGAAATTATTTAAACTTATTGATTTCTAGTTATGTGATCTATACTCTCCAACCATAGATTACGATTTTTGTGCGGTGCACAACTAGAAGTTCCACAACTTCCTATATACACATTATCAATAGTCAATGATTATGTGAAGTATATCGCCTTGAGTCGTAGATATATTTTTCATCTTCCAAGACGTCAATAGGATTCAAAAAGTTATTCGCTTTGCCCATTCTACGAATATGTTAAATCAGTACTACACGTTACATGTGTTTGTGGGTTCAGTAGATATCTCTCATACGTTCACATTTGTCGGGATACCGCTATATTCTAGTGAAGAAAGAGCCTACGTAGACTGCTTCCTGTTTGGAAGGCGTCTGCGTACTTATGGAAGGGTGGTCCTAAGGGAAATGACAAGGATTGTATATACTCTTCGTCTAAGTGTTTATCTAATTTGAACGTCAATTACAAAATATATCTAAAGCTCCTAGACTAGCTCTAGAATTCTGATGAATGAAAAGTATCCATATTGGTAGGTGTGTCCTCAATGAGCAAGTATCACGGCTGATTTAGACAGACGGATATCTTCCGATTTCTATGTTTGCGAACTGATAGTAGCGATCATTTTCTGAAAGTCAATCGTCTTTTTGTCATCAATAGCCTTAATTACGAAGACGGGCATTGTCTAAATTAACTACTAATGACATAAGCTATGTTAAGCTCTGACATGATACGAAAACGGCTGGTAAAACTAATAATGTCCGTCAACAGTCTTGTTAATAACAAACAAACAAAATCCATTCCAATACAAAACAGGAACGAAATGAACAAGAGAATGTGTCACATAGGAATGAAAGCAAAGTGATAGGCCTAAAATGGAAAGGATGGGACGCAGAAGATCATTTGTAAATGACTCCAGCTTATTGACGATATGTTTCCCAGCACATAAAGAGGGTTTCAGCTTGCGTATAGTCACGGCTTCGATAAAACTTGGTATGCGACCTTTAAAACTTCTGTATAACACTACATTGGCTGACGTTTTATTAACCATATGACAAGTCTCAACCAAATACTTATCAAGGTATGGAGATACTTGTCCATCCTGTGATCTTATTTGACCATTGGAATTCATCTGTTTCAGTAGCTATTTAAGTATGTGTCCAACCACCTTTTATCGGAGATCATTATTACTCCACTCTATGTATGTGAACATCAACTGTGGGATGCAGGTACATCCAGCTGACGAGTCCCAAATAAGACGAAACGCGCATCCTGCAATACACTGCTATACACCATTCATCTTTGCTTAGAATGCTTTTGACGTAAGGCAATATCGAGGTAATCCGTACACTATGCATATATGCCAACAAGAAACTGATCAATTGCAGTCCTAAACATCAATCGAAAGTTTCAAGTAGACAATTGCAATAGATTACAATAGGTTCATCGTCCTAAAAATTGCCTTTTCATATTGTTGTCTCATGTTTATAGTATGAATACTGCTAATTACTGACATAAACTGCCCTGATTTATTTTAGGATATTTCCTTCCTCAGTGTTTACTCGTGACACTTAATGTGTTCGTTTTAGTTCCGTAGAGCTGTCATTATTGTTAACTGGTCACATGTATGCGTCAACTTGCTGAAATAAAATTATCAAGGAAAACGCACGGGGTTATAGTGATTCTGAACTCCGCCTGTAGCTTTTCTAGAGTTACTGCCGGTCCCAAGCCCGGGTAAAGGAGGAGGGTTGAGCATGGGGTTGGCGTCCCTTTCCCGTAGAAAACTAACTCGCTAAAAAAACACTTACCAGAAAAAATAATTCAAACCATTTTAACTCTGCCCTAGGAGTTAGAAGGTCTTCTTTCAGAAGAATTATGACGCTTCATGGTGAAAGCCGAGTTCCTTCGGAAGCCACGAGATCGATGCCCCTTCTAACAACCAGAGCGAAGATGTTTGTAGGTACATGGAACGTTCGAACAATGTAGGAGACCGAGAAGACCAGTCAAATAGCAACTGAAATGAGGAGATACAATTTGGCAGTACTGGGAATCAGCGAAACCCACTGGACCCAAGCTGGACAGAAAAGGCTAGCTACGGGAGAGATGCTGCTATACTCTGGTCACGAAAAGGAAAATGCTCCACACACTCAGGGAGTCGCTCTAATGCTGTCCAAAGTAGCACAAAATGCACTTGTAGAATGGGAATCTGACGGATCCAGAATCATCAAAGCATCGTTCAAAACAAAGAAGGAGGGGATTTTAATGAATATTATCCAATGTTATGCACCCACCAATGATAGCAACGATGACATTAAAGATCAATTCTACGAGCGGCTGCAGTCAATCATAGAGAAATGCCCAAGAAAGGACCTCATCATTCTAATGGGAGATCTAAATGCCAAAGTCGGAATAGACAACACCGGATGTGAAGATATTATAAGACGACATGGACTGGAACAGAGAAACGAAAATGGAGAAAGATTTGCAAATCTATGTGCATTCAACAAATTGGTCATAGGGGGCACAATATTTCCACACAAGCGTATACACAAGGCTGCATGGATCTCACCGGACCACACTACAGAGAACCAGATAGATCATATTTGCATCAACAAAAAATTCCGAAGGACAATGGAAGATGTGAGAACCAGGAGAGGAGCTGACATAGATTCAGATCATCACTTAGTTGTGGCCAAGATGAAAGTGAAGCTAAAAAAGAACTGGACAACTGAACAAACAGCAATACAAAGGTTCAATACAGCCTTCCTTCGAGATATTGACAAACTCAATGAATTCAAGATAGCTCTCAACAACAGGTTCCAAGCCTTACAAGATCTACTGAAAGGAGAAACTACTATGGAGGATAACTGGAAAAGTATTAAAGAAGCATTAACTTCAACGTGTCAAGAGGTTCTGGGCCTAAAGAAACACCATCATAAGGAGTGGATCTCTATAGAAACACTGGACAAGATCAAAAAAAGGAAGAACAAGAAGGCAGCAATTAACAACAGCCGAACACGAGCAGAGAAAGTCCAAGAACAAGCTGAATACACGGAAGCAAACAAGCAAGTGAAGAAAAGCATTAGAGCCGACAAGAAGAAACACGTGGAAGAACTAGCAACGACGGCGGAAAAAGCTGCTAGAGAAGGAAATATGAAACTGCTTTACGATACAACGAAGAAACTATCAGGGAAATACAGTAAACCAGAGAGACCGTTCAAAGACAAAGAAGGCAAGCCAATCACTGAGATTCAACAACAGCGGAACAGATGGGTAGAATACTTCGAGGAACTCCTGAATAGGCCGGCTCCAATGAATCCACCGGACATCGAAGCAGCGCACACAGACCTTCCTATAGATGTCAATCCACCAACGAAGGAAGAAATCAGAATGGCCGTCAAACAAATCAAGAACGGCAAAACAGCGGGACCGGATAACATACCAGCTGAAGCACTGAAGTCAGACATGGAATTGACTACAAACATGCTGTACCTTCTATTCAAAAAGATTTGAGAGGAGTAACAAGTGCCGATGGACTGGAAAGAAGGGCACCTCGTCAAGATTCCAAAGAAAGGAGATCTGAGCAAATGTGAAAACTATAGAGGCATTACACTGCTGTCAATACCAGGGAAGGTCTTCAACAGAGTGTTGCTGAACCGGATGAAAGATGCAGTAGACGCCCACCTTCGAGATCAACAAGCTGGATTCCGTAAGGATCGATCATGCACAGACCAAATTGCAACACTACGGATCATCGTCGAACAATCAGTTGAGTGGAACTCGTCACTATACATCAACTTCATTGATTATGAAAAGGCATTTGACAGTGTGGATAGGAGGACGTTATGGAAACTTCTTCGACACTACGGAGTTCCTGAGAAGATTGTCCATATTATCCGGAACTCATACGACGGACTACAATGCAAAGTCGTGCATGGAGGACAGCGATCCAATCACTCTTGATGGCGAAACACTGGAAGATGTAGAATCCTTCACATACCTGAGAAGCATCATCGATGAACAAGGGGGCTCAGATGCAGACGTAAAGGCAAGGATCGGCAAAGCAAGGGTCGCATTCCTACAATTCAAAAACATATGAAACTCAAAACAACTTTCAACCAATATCAAAGTGAGAATCTTCAATACCAACGTCAAGGCAGTTCTACTGTATGGAGTTGAAACTTGGAGAACTACAACAACCACCATCAAGAAGGTACAAGTATTTATAAATAGC